CGTGCTTCTGGATAAACGGATAAGCGAATATTAAATTTTGTGTCACTGTTTTCATTATTACTCATTTTAGAAATTCAGGTTTATGAAATGTATCCTACTGAAGGTTTAAGGAAATCAGGCTATCTTGTGGGCATCAGAATTTATGGAACTCTGTCCAGTACTCTCAACTGGATTAGATTTTAGCTACACAAACAGTCTTATCTCCTAAGAGCTAGGATCTGAAATTAAATTATAAATTGATACTATCAATAGCAGCTGTGTTATCCTGAACCTGGAAGGCCAGAAGCCTGATTGAATCTCATTCATCACAGATGCGCTTTGCTGGAGATGGTTGCATGCGGGTGTGGGGTGCTTCCATGTTATAACCAGTGGGCTAGTCAGTTGAGCTGGTTAGCACATAGTGCTGACAAGAGCAAGTGGGAGAAGCTCCATGGCTCCATAAGCCAATTAACTGCCTTGTTTAGTGTGATTGAGAGTCATTCAGATGCTATATGGAGGTCTCATATCCCACTAAAGATTCTGGTAATAAAACTGACTTTAGGGACAGAAAACTGAAAGCAATTTTGTAGCAGATTTACAGAGGTTACTCTAATAAAATGGAATGAATAAAACCAATGTGGTTATAGGCTTTTGAGATTCCACAGAGACCTGTCATGCTTGCTGTTCCCTTCTGAGGACTTTCTATGCCTTGTCCATTTGACCCATAAACACTGACATTCATGTACTAGCCCTAGAACGAATGTCAGCTAGTATCCGGCCGTCTCTGGAATAGAATAGCCAGCAGCCATCATGACAAGACTCATCACGAGGACTGGGCCCAAAAAGTAACTGGCAAATCTGACAAGATTTTGTTTCTAGAGGTTTTAAGCATAAAATGCAAAGAAAAAGACACAAACTCACACATGATACAGAAATTCAGCTTTATTGAGAGAGAAGCTAAGAAGAAGGAGGAGGAGGAGAAAGAGGAGGGGGAGGAGGAGAAGGAGGAGGAGGAGGAGGAGGAGGAGAAGAAGCAGAAGAAGCAGAAGCAGAAGCAGAAGCAGAAGCAGAAGCAGAAGAAGAAGAAGAAGAAGAAGAAGAAGAAGAAGAAAGAAGAAATAATCCAATAGAAATTATGAGTTAGCAGATGAGGTGAATAAGCAAGAGGCTTGCGACAGATTGCAGAGTACAGAACAATTCAGCGGGCGCAGCCAGAACACAGGAACTAGCAACAGAGAGTGGATGAGTAACAGTGCGGAGTAACTCAGAAGGGGAAGCCTGCTGCTGGAGGGTAAAACGATCCTGAGGCCTTTATGGCCAGGTTATAAACCAAAAGATCGTTCTTTTCTCCACTATACCTACCTTTGTGATTGTGGGAGAATTATGTAAATTATTCTAGTTTCTTGGAAACCTGCCTATAGAGAGCTTTCTAATTTCTCTTTCTTAACGGAACATCCTTATAACAAAGCTAGATCATTTGAAAGAATCAGAGAGTGGCTCGTATTTGTGACTTGAAAAGTCCTAACATCCAAACATTATTTGCATGAATTAAAATATGTTTTTATCTCAGGAAAATAGTATTTTAAGTCCCAGGTTCACATCAAATTTCTACTAGTCCACAGTTTTCACTGCCTTTTCCCTTTTTGAGATACTATTCAATCACAGTGCTAAAATACATTAAAAATACTATTGCATATAATCCCATTGAAACGTGTCACATATATTAAGAAACTTTCATAGTACTTGGACATGAAGAAATCTCTCCTCTTGGCTTTAAATTATTAAAATAACCAAGAATATTTTGATAGTTGCTCTTCAGCATTGGTTGGGAAGGATTTCATGGAGAAATACACAACCGAAGTGTTGGAGTGCTTGCTTGAGACAGAGATTACTACTTGGTTACTGATTATACCTCCCATCTCTAGTGAAAAGCTATTAGAATACAAAGCAAATTATTATGTCAGTCCCTGGACATGGGTTTATCAAAACCTTCTCCCATTGTGTATATCATCTGAAGGTTAAATTTTTTTCTTGAGGGACAAATACAAATGTACACTAGGTATAATTACACTTGAAGTAAACATGGCTTCATATGCATAAATCTATTTTTGCATATCATTTTGCATATCATTTGCTTATATAGTTTGACTCTGTATATGTCAGGTGATTAAAATTGAGTATTAATTCTCAAACTGGAGTAGAGACAAGAAAGTGATGTAGTGAAGAGCATGTATCACTTATGACATGAAAGGGAGATAAAAAATAACTTTCCAATTTGGAAAATTAAATGAGTTTCTTTATATTGGATTAATGAAAAATTAATAAATACTATTGCTGTGTTAATGTAAAAATAACAATTCTTTGGTTAATTGCCTTTTCGATTAAAAACTGAGGCCTAGAATGAAGGATTGTCTTGGCAGGGTTAGCAATGGGCACAGCTTTGCAGGATCAGGTAAACTATCCAGATCTGGAAAGCAATGATATTGATAATGTTAGTTGGAGTAGCAGCAACAATGGAGGCTGTAGAGGCCTGCATGGTGGTCATTTCAGTTTGTATTAGGAAAATTCCCGATAAAATATGGCAAGAACAGCAATAGCCTTAGGAAAATAACGAGAAGGAGCTAATCCAAAGATAGGGCAGGTCTCTCCCTGGCTGTGTGTCTGTGCCTAAAATGTAAAACACTACCTATGTTGTGGAGAACAGTAGTGGTTCCAGTAGAAATGAAGTCTCAGTTACACATACTGTGGGGGGTGGTAGGATGGAAAAAGAAAACATAGCATAAAAAAAGAATATCACTAGATTTTCTATCTTCCCTCTCTCCCTGCTTTCCTCCTTCCTTCTTTCCTTTTTTCCTTTTCTTTCTGTCTATTCTAAGCATTTATTTTTTCCATTAAGTTTACAGATACAAAAAGTTGTAAAAATAATACTTGTAGTTCTCATCTATCTCCACTTTCATACTAATCAAGGTACAGTTATCTAAAGCAGGACATTAAAATTAATGTAATAGCATATATGTGTCTAGACTTACTTGAATTTTGCCAGGTGTCTTATGTTGGGGCTAATATCTAGATGTCCCCCCAAAGCCTCATGAACTTATAGGTGGGGCTTTTCAGAATGACTAGATCATGGGTGTATGATACTAGATTAGTTTACTGATTGGTTTAACATAGTTTTGGGTGTGGATGATGGACTTACTGAAGAGGGAAGACTGGTGGCACCAACCAATAGGCTTGCAGCCTGCAAGGAATAAAAAGGGAAAGAAGGAAGACTGCAATGCTTCTTAACTGCTTGCCATGACCAAGACTCATTTGCCATGCCCCTCTGCCATGCTGCCTTGAAACCAGCCAACTATGCACTGAAACCTCTACAAACTAAAATAAAGTAAACCTTTCCTGCTTTAACTTGTTGGTGTTGAGTGTTTTGTCCCAGCAACAAAAAAGTAACTAAGATATCCCACTAGTGTGTTTTTCATGGTTCTGGGATTAATTCAGGTTGCCCTTAGGTGGTACATCCTCTTAGACTCCAATCTGATCACATTTGTGGCTATTTTCGTTTGCATTTCATGAATTCAACAGTTTTGAAGATTTCTATCCAGTCGTTTCATAGAATCTGAACAGAACTGAAATTTAGCATTCTTGAAAAGAATATCATGAGAGTGATTTTGTGTCTTTCCTAGTTACCATATTGGAAGTACATTGTTTTGCTATGCTGTATTACTGGAGATAACTTATAACTTAAGTCACTTGGTTAAGGCGGCATCTGCCCACTTACAATTTTCTGCTTGTAATTAGCAAATACCTTGTAGGATGACAATTTGTGACTCCATACATTACCCTGTTTATCATCATATTTTTGCTGCCTAATTTTAGCATCCAAAGATGATTCTTACCTGCAAAAATGACTACATACTCTGCTATTTACAAATGTTTTTTCTATTTTTATTGTTCTTCTATTTTTACTATTTGACATAGTACTGAAAAGAAGAACTATGCATTTTCTGCCATTTTTTGATGTATGAACTTCCTTTTATCTCCAATTCCAGCATCCCTATCCATAACCTATATCTTCCCCTTCACATTAACATAGCCTATGGGAAAACTATATTGTTGTTGTTGTTGATTTTAACTGGAGGCTCCTGAGTTGGTAATGGACAAGAATTTACTGTTCTTTCACATGTTACCCCATTCTCCCAACTTTTTTGTTTTGAGTTGTGTCTGTACTAATTAACTCGATCCACTGCTGTGGGTTTACAGGCTAATTCATTTACCTTGACATTTAATTTATAACATTTACTCTGCTCGCAGTTTTCAGAACTACATTCTTGATTGCCCATTGCCATCCCAGAACATTTCCACTTTTAGAAGTCATTTCATTGAAGCCAACCAACACCAGAGAGTTTGTGCTGCTATTGTACTTGAGGGTAGGCATTTTATTTGCCAGCTTCTATTCTTTTTTTGGTAATGATTTTCACTAGGAGACAACCTCTGTTCACTGGGATAGACGTCAGCATTGAACTCAGGGTATCTACACTCTCTCCAAGAGCCCCAAACTCTGAGTGTGGTAAGGGCAAGATAGAGAAACTAGATGGAAAGAAAGCATTTGGATCATGTTCTTTCCATGATGGAGTCCTAAAGACATCATTAGTTAATTTGTGCTGATGAGAAGCTTTCCTCATTTCTGTTGTTTTCAGAGCCTAGTTTCCCAATCTTTGTAAGTTTTCTGAAATCCTCCTGCTGAATATATTTTGTGTACCTTAGCCAAAGTCATTTTTCCTGCAGCATGTGGGCAAAAGTAACACATAAATTATACTTTTCTTGGAGGAGTAAGAAATACCACTATTTTCCTGAAGCTAAAGACTTCAAGGAGGAAATGTCAGGTCCTCTATTGATGAGGATTAGCAGCAAGGTAGAGAGGCTGACCTTTCCTCAGAGAGGAGCCAGCATTAGCTGGTTGTTGAGGGACAGGGGCATTTAGATCATTATACAGGGAAGACTTGGAAAAACAATCAGTGAAGACACACATGTGTCAGTCATCAAAAGTTCATGTGTCTCTCTCCTGGATTTGCTTCTCTTTGTCTGCTTTCTGGTTTCCTTACTCTGCTCCTGTATCCCTTTGTGCCTGATGATCATGGCTTGCCATTGTCTCTGCTGGTATTCATAGTTTGGGTGAAAGAAAATTTCAATTGTCATTCTCTGCAAAGTTACTCATTTTCTGTGGGAAGTCTACACCATTTCCAAGGCATCTCTGTTCCTTGGATTGTAACCCTAATCTCTCACCTAAGTAGAACAGAAGCTCATATTCCTTTATTATACTTCAAAGGGAGAGAACATTTTAAATAAATTCTGTGGTGACCAAAGAAAACTGTGATCACTCTAGGGAAGATAATTTTATCCCCTGAGGCTGCAAACTGAGACTTCATTCTCCCTTCATAAATCATGTTCCTCACTCATAGGGGTAGAATAATTCTGACCACTTAGTCAATTTACAATTCCCTGTAACAAACTACTTTTCTTACCTGCAGTTTTGATCTCTGCTGCTTCAGTTAAGTTGATCAAATGTGATTCAAAACAATTAATGGGAAAATTCCTGAAATAAACAACTCATAAGTTTTAAATTTTATACATTTCTGAGTAGTATGATGAACTCTTCAATCATCCCATATACCCTAGAATCATGCTTTTGTCCAGTGTGTCCACGTTGTATATGCTACCTGCCCATTAGTCATTTAGTTGCTATGTTGGTTATCTGATTGACTGTCATGATTATGCTAGCATTCCAGTAACTCTTATTTTGCTTATTAGTAGCCTAAGGCCAAAGAATAGTGATGCTAGCAATTTAAATATGCTTAAACGATGTTGTGAAGTGAAAAGTTCAAAGTTTTTGACTTAATAAGGAAAGAAAAATAATAATTTTATAAGGTCATTATGAGAATAAATCTACTGTCTATGAAATAGCAAAGAAGGACAAACAAATTCATACTAATTTTGCTATCACACCTCAAACTGCAAAAATTAAGTCACAGTGCATGATAAATGCTTAGTTGGGATGGAAAAGGCATTAAATTCTAGGGTTTATTATGACGTCTGGTTTCTGGCATTCACTAGAGATCTTAGAATGTGTCACTCCATGGTCAGGAAACTAATGAAATACTTCACACTGAAAAAGGGAGATTCAGCATCACCAGATGATAAAAGGTAGTATATAAAATATTTCAATATTTTGAGATTATGTGAGTCAAGAGTAAAAAACAAACTCTCTACACACTGATCTTACTGGGATTATGAAAATTTCTGTAGTTTGTATAAATTAGGAATCTATAAAAAAGATTTTTAAATGAGATAATTTTATGACTCAGCATTGATAAATATTTATTCAGATGATTTTCAAAGTATCTTCCAAAGGCCAAGGAAAGACGTCATGTCAGGATAGGTCAAAGTAAAGGGATAATTATTATAATATCCCTGTTCCCAAACACTCCAGTGTTTTACCTGGGAAAACACTGATAGATGGCACAGATAAAGGGACATAAAGAGTTCACTTCTCCATGTCATTTATCCATCTTTTTTGGAAGTAAGACACATTCTCTTCTTCTCAAAAAGGCATAGACACGAAATAACATAATCGTTCCTGATCAAAGGTAGTGAGGATGAGATGCGAATGCCTTACTAAAAGAATATTTTACTTTGGTTTGAAGCTTTACAATTCCAATTTCTTCTTTCAGTGGGAGTGCTGGGGAACCCTAGGGACACTTCTTAAAGTGAAGAAGTCCAAAGAATCACTCCAATGAAACCTTGCCCTGTGTGCAGGGCGCAGATGCTTGTGGAGAAAACTATCCTCCAAAAGGAGCAGTGAAGTTTGCCCTCTGAGGCATTCTCCTTCAAGTCCACTTCCTATATCCTCCTCTGTACTGCTGTAAAGGTTGACTTCTCTGCTATTAACATGTTTTTTTTTAATGTTATAATTGCTTATTCATGCATTTTTCCTGTTATGCTGGGCATTTCTTAAACACAGACTGAAAATTTGAACTTTCAATCCTAGGTATGTGAGAAAGATTGGCCTCGTATGAAATGTTTAATCAGCTTTTAAAAAATAACTTCCTGAACTTATAGTGTCCTTTTCATGTACTGTCTCATATTACCATTTTTATTTTCCTATATCTACTTTTAAAAAAATCTGCATCTACTATAAAAATATAAAATTTTGAATTTCAGGCAAACGGATAAATTTAAAAGAAAATTTTAAATAGAACTCCTTGCATAGTGTTTTTATTTCAAGTTGTATAAAAAAAGAAAATTGTTTAGAATCACAGTCCATAAATATAGTGAGAAAAAACCCAGAGCTTGTCTCAGAATGTTAGATTTTCTTTCTCATATCAATATTAAAGACAAACCAACCCAGAAAGGAACTAACTCCCTCAGATTGGACTTCCTGAGTGTCTAGGGGACACCTGCCTCTTTTTATTTCTGGAGTTTTCCACTGCTATGCTTAGTCAAATGTAGGTTGCTAATCACCCAACAGGGATGAGGAAATATCTTTTCAACTTAATTCATCAATGGTAAGACCAAAAATCTTAATGATCTTTTATTAGAAACTTACAGTCAATGGACAAAGTAGACATGATTAAATGAGGAACTCCCAGAAGAGGTTCTTCTTATGTCTCAAGCAATATTAGATCACTAGCTGCCTAAACCTTATTCCATACCTTTCTTCAGTTTGGGAGTTTCCCTTTCACATTTCCCGAGGATGTATTCTATATCACCTTGCACAATTCTGGGGCAATACAAGCGCTGTTATAAGAATCAGTGAACCAAAAGTACTTTCACAAAGGAGAAGAAATGGTCTCTGAAAAAAATACTTCTTCATAAACAATGAGGACACTGGCAAAAATGATTGAAAGAGAATTTTTGGGGAAATCTGGAAATCAACCAAAAGTTTAAAAGAATGTGAGGAACATTTACTCAGTAAAAACAACTGACTCCCAAGAAGCACAGTTAAATTTTGATACTTCAATATGCTTTGCTCTCATCCTCCACTACCTAATATTTCTGAGCTCTGACCTTACAGCACCTTTATTCAGGTTTCATGTTGTTATTTTTCTTTTCCTGTGTGAAAAATTTTCAAAAAGTCTGTCCAGTATAAAAATGTAAAATTTTGAATTTGAGGTATAATAAACAAATTGAAAAGAACTTTAAAAATAAAATAACCATAAGAGACTTTGAAATACTCTGAAGTATTTCTGGAAAGCTTGAAGGTCATGTTTATACTAAGAAGTCACTGTCTTTCACCTCTGGCAGACCCTGAGATGCTCAGGAATTAAAGGTTAAGGTGGTGTAATTAACCAACCAAGTATACCCCAATACTCACACAAAGATCCTTAAAGACCCACAAAGCTGGGAAACTTATTGGATCAAAACATTTAAGGAAATTTTCAAATTAAATTAGCTAACAACTAAGTTAACAGCAGATTTCTCCTTGGCCACACAAGTCAAGTATACCAATTAGATTGGGAAAGTCACTAAACAAAAAAGCAACGAGAAACAATAGGAATAAAAACAAGAAAGCAACCTCTGGGGAAGACTGAACTGATTTCTATAGTTGCCACATTATATAAATGTCCCATTTTTAACAGAAAACTATTAGACTCATAAAAAAATAGGAAATTATGCCACATTCGCTGAAAGAAAAAACAATCAATTCAAACTATCTAAGAAGTACAAATGTTTTCTTTACCAAACAAACATTTCAAATCAGCTGTATTATTTTCAAAGAACAAAAGAAAAGAACTAGAGGATGTCATGGGAATGCTATCTGGCTAAATAGAAACTATCAATGAAGAAATCTAAATTGTAAAAAATTGGGAATTCTGGAATTGAAATGTATCATTTACTAAAGTCCAATAACAAAATAGATCTGGCAGAAGAAGGAATCAGTGAACCTGAAGACAGTTAATTGAAATGATCCAGTCAAGGAAATAAAAAAGAGAATGGAGTTTGATAAATTACAAAATCTATATTAAAAACTATAAAACCTTAATAAAAAATGAAAGGTGATTTAAATAAATAGAAAGATATACCAAGTACATGAAAAGGAAGATTCAATGTTGTTAAGATATTAGTTTTCCCCAATTGGTAGATTCAATGTAATCCCAATCAAAATACCTGAGAGTTATTCAGTGGATAATGACAAAGTGATTCTAAAATTTGTATGGGAAGACAAAAGACACAGTAACCTGTTGTAGTCAGGGTTTATAAGAGAAAAACTTTAATAGAGGGCTCATAATTTAAAGGATTATTTTATAATATTCACCAAAAAATCAAATATAGAAGAGTGCAAAAGGTCTATCCATATGCTAGAGACCAGAACAATCCAGCTAAGGGCCTGAACGCTATGGCAATGTCGTGCACAAGTCCAATCAAAGGCCTAAAGCCCACAGCAATGTCCCTCATGAGTCCAGCTGGAAGCCTAGAGCCCACAGATATCTCATGAGAGTCAATATCAAGAATCTGCACCAGGAAGGCCCAAAGGCCAGCAATGGAAGCCAGAAAGTCTGCTCCCATGGAGCGAGGGATCTGAGCCAGCAGGCTGAAGGATCTGCACTGCCGCCAGGGAGCGATGCTCAAGACAAAGATCAGAGCTCCCCTGAAGAAAACAGCAGCCACCTCCAGTGACAGCTCCTCTGATGACTAGAACAATGGAGTTACCATCAGGAAAATCACCTGCCCAAGCTTCTCCAGGAAAATCAACAGCAATGCAGTCTTCCCCTTCAGTTCTCCTTTTATGCCTTTGACAACAATCCTCAGGTTGTTGCCTAGAACCATGCTGACTCAGTTCAGCTGGGTGTTCCCACTTAGACCATTAGTTAATCCACCACACCTCCTAATGTAATATTAAAGGAAAAAGCAAAATTAGAGGAGAAACATTACTAAACATCAGGGTGACAAAGAGAGGATAGGGCTAGCAAATGAGTATAGTCATAGACCAAAAGAACATGATAGAAAACCCAGAAACTGATGCACACAAACATAGTCAACTGATCTTCAATAAGAGGAAAAGTTTATTTTCTAAAGGAAATACAATATTTTCAACAAATGGTACTAGATTATGACAAGCAAGAAAGAGAAAGAGAGAGAAAGAGATAGAAAGAGACAAAGAGAAGAATCTAGACACAGATCCATAGACTCCAATATGATAGATGAAATTATGAAACCATAAGATAAAATAAGAAATCTACATAGTCTTTGGTTTGGCTATGACTTTATAGATGCAACACCAAACACGATTCATGAAAAAAAAAGGGTTGAGAAGTTGAACATTAAAACAAAAAATTCTACTCTGTAAAAAACACATCAGAGAACAAAAAGATAGGCCAGAGAATGGGAGAAATCTTGGCAAAACAATCACCTGATAAGGATTAATACCTATTAAAAAAATAGAGGGACACCTGAAAGAAAAAATATCCAGTTAAAAATGAGCATAATATCTGAACAGATAACTCAGCAAAGAAGATATTTTGGTGACAATTAAACATATGAAAAGATGTTCCACATCAAATGTCATTACAAAACTTTAAATTATTGAGGTAATGA